CACCCTTCGTAGGACACCAACATGACAAAGGGCAGAGATGAGAGAAAAGCGGGGGAATTAGTTTGTCCTGTGTTTCTGGTGCCCCAACATGTCTTGTTATAGCGGGGCAGGATGTCAACTTGGGCTCTACACCCAAATGTCATTCTGCTACACACTTTCATGGAGAATAAATACAACTGTAAAAAACTAATCCAGAAAACTCCTGAGACATATGTGAGCCCTTGATGGCAAAAACCGAGAAGGGGCTGGGGAGATGGCTCAGTGGTTAAGAGCTCTAGCTGCTCTAGCAGAGAACCCAGGTTCAGTTCCTGTCACCCACATGGTTTCCAACCGCTATAACCTAGTCCAGGAACATGACCCCCTCTTTTGGTCTCTGCAGGTACTGCACACACATGGTGCAAACATTCACATAAAACCAACAAGCAAGCAAAAAGAAAAGCCAAAAACAAAACGAGCTAACAAAAAACCAAACCTCCAAGTCAATGATGGGGGGCGGAGCACTAGGAAGAGAGGCCAGTTTATGAGGTTTATAGTCTTTCTAGGCTTCAAGTTCAAAAGCACAGTAGCAATTTTCATGACTTTGACTCTGTGTCCTCAAAGTCAGAACCCCTTCCCCAACCTGATCACAAAACACCTTTTCAGTTCTGTACATAGAAGAATTTTCTTAGGATGAAAAGTCCTTTTACATGCTTGGGTTGCACCTGAGTTAGTGTCTGACATGTGAACCAGGCAATGGCGGTGCATGCCTTTAATCCTGGCACTCAGGAGGCACCCAAACTTGCAGCTTGGAAAGACAGGTGGTTCTTGGCGAGTTTGAGGCCAGCCAGGACTACAAAATAAGACACTGTCTAAAAGCAAAATATAAAACAAAGCCAAACCCTACCAAGTATGATGCAAACCTTGGTCTCCTCAATTTCAAGCAGCTAGTCGGAGTGATAAACAAAGCTCCATCAAAAAGCACGGAGCCATTTATTCATAATCTACACAACACACATAAGCAGCAAGTCAGGGTGTTTTTCTCAACCAGCCTCTCCACATTTTGTTAAGTTTCCGTGAACTGTAAATCACTGACTTCTTCACACCTACAAGAGAAAAGAAGCATGGGTGAGAAAGCGAGTCCTGCTGAGTGGACAGTGACTGGCGGTGTCACTCTGAGCGGATGGGGCTGTGACGGGCTGACTGGGCGTCTGGAGGACCTGGAGCTGAACTTTTAAAGGCTAAAAGAGACCTGTAGCAGAGCAGCCCATGCGGCTCACGGAACTAGACTCCCTCAGATAGCAAGCCTTTGAGGTATGGGGTCCCGGCAGCCAGAGTTTCACAGGTCACAGAAGGGAGGAGCACCTGCACCCCAGCCAGCAGCTGGTTGCTGCAGTGCCCCACACTCCCCCTGCCCGCCCAGAATGAAGGCTGCTCTCACTAGTTCCTGCTTGGTGCACATGCCAGGCTGCTCTCGTGCCTGGGGCTCATCTCTCGCACAGCATGTACCACACTGTGCAGTGTTTGCAGCCGACTCTCCTGTCTCTCTGCCTAGACTGACAGCTCCCCCAGGACAGGGGCCTTGTTCCCTTTCACCAGGGCAGTACCTGGTACCTAGCAACACAGAACAGGTACACAGCTGAGTCTTCTGAAGTGCAGAGAGAGGGCTGGCCCGCACAGCCCTGACTTCATCCCAACCACAGGAGCCCAGAGAAGAGGCTCGCTAGGGATGAAGGGAAACATACAATGGGATAAATGGTCTGCTAGTGTTCTCCAGCCCTGCCAATTATTAGTTATTAGCCCTGGACGTTACTACGGATCTGACTTCCTCGTGTTATGGGTGAGGGCACTCAGTGCTTTAGGGTGTGGTCTTTGAGTTGTACACGGTGTCTGTGCTGTGGTTGGAAGTGCACGCTCCTGGCTGTGGGCTTGGTGAACATGTCGGCAAGGGGCACAATTCATTCCAGGAAGTGATCTTTTAAACTACCTGACCCTGTTACTTGGAAGCTGCCTCGCCTGCTTGGAACCTGTGGCTACTGCAGGCAGTGACAGAGAAAGGCAGAGTTCCCAAAATCATTAGTGATGAATCTGGATGTGCTCCTGGCTTGACGTGATCTTGTTGAGAAACACAGCCTTTTCACTGCCTCCACCCCTCTTCATTTTCTCCCTGGAGCAACGACTCTGGCCGGCCTCACCCACCTGAACACTAAGGCTGGAAGATCATTACATAAGGTGCTGCTTCAAATTCCAGTGGAACCAACCAGAAGACTGAGCGGAAGTCAGGCGGTCACACAGGCAAGACTCAGCGCAGCAGCCCAGGTTGCTGAGTCATGGCTGGAAGCCTTCAGAAAACTTAGCAAGGAGCTAGCTTCTCAGAGTTGGAAGAGCAGGTAAATACTGAAAACAGCTGAGCCCCTGCTTAGAGGATTAAAAGCCTCCCTTGACTGAACACACTTCCTTCTTCGGCTCTGTCAGACTGTAGCAGGGCCCGGGTAGACGATGATGGGTGTGATGGTGACTCTCCCTTTCTGAGCCTTCCTCCAGTTTCTCATCGGTAGGATGCTAGCCTAGGCAATGGAGGGTCTGTCCACGAGACACTCTGAGCTTCTCAGAGCTGCAGGGAAGTTTGCTGTGCACTGTTTATGTGCACTTCCACCTGACGGTTCAGTTAGGTTTTCAGGGGCTCTGTCCAGAGCCTTACCACCCTGAAAGCGCTCAATCCTGCCAGGTTTACATAGGCTCTGAGGCTTGCACAAGGTTAAGAACACACAGATTAACTTCAACAAAGGTTTTAAAAATTTCAACCAACAAGTTCATAAAATTGAAACAGGCAAAGTGTCCTTCAAATGACAGCAAGGGCTGCAAAGCGCAGGGAACAAACAGGTCGGGAACCTGACTCAGGAAGTGGGAAGCCCCATGAAGACTCTATGGAGAGGGCAGAGTGCAGCTCCAGGGTGGAGTTATTTGTATTACCCACATCCAGCAGGACTGGGGTCCGGGGCTGCTGGGGCTACGAGGTATGTGTTTAGTGCTCAGCACGCAAATAAACAAAGACAGATCGAAGGGAGGGAAAAAAAATCTATTTAGAGCACACATTCAATTAAAAAAGAAAAAGTATCAACAAGAAGGGGCCATTAGTGCAACAAACTCTCCAGAAAACGCTCTAAGACAGGGGTGTGACTCTGCTGTTCAGGACTCTAACCTACAATTCTAATTCAAATCCACTCTTTTGAGGAGAAAGTCAATAAGACTCCAGAGGCTTGCAGTGAGTTTTGAACGAAGACCTAGCCACATGGGAAAGGGCATCTGAGGCAGAGCTACAGCAGAATCTGACAAGCTTCAGACTTAGCCGGGTGTGGCAGTACACATCTACAGTCCTGCCCAGAGCCAGAACTGAGTTCACTGCAGCCTCAGATGCAGACCCTGCTGGAAGGGAAGGACGGAGGAAGAGGATGGATGTTCAGGATTCAGTGATAAACTCATTATTAGAAAGATGATGTAAAAAGAAGAAGAAGAAAAAGAGAAAAAAAAGAAACAAAAAAAAATAGAAAGATGATGTAAGACAAAAATAACGATCGGCTCCCCGGTGTTTCAGGAAAGGGCCGAGAAGCAGTGAGGTATGCTGGGATATTTTTTAGGGACAAGACTAAACCTGTCTTGTTAATTCAGCCAAATCTTTTGAAGTTGGGAGAGGGATCTGCCCCTAGAGTTGATTGATTGACCATAAAGATAGGTGGGAAAATTAGAAAACAGTCTCCCCAGGCCCCAGCACCTCAGAGGGTGGGGAAATTAGAAAACAGTCTCCCCAGGCCCCAGCACCTCAGAGGGTGGCCCCACTGCCTCCCAAGGCAAAACTTTTTGATGTGTCCCACTCATGTGTCCCAGGTACCATCCCGGGTTCTCTTCTCTGCCTGTGTTGCCCTGGACCGAGTTCAGGCTACAGAGGTCCCTCAGCTGGCTAGCTGGCTGGCACCCTATCTGCTGGTCTCTGGCATCTGCTGCTGCTGTAGTCTTACACTGGCCCAGTGGCTCCCTCTGTCTTCAAGTAGTTCTGAATGGTGAATGCAGCTTTGGGGCCATCCTTTGTGGGGCTCTGGCCTGTCTCTCAGGCTGGTCGCCGACTTCCCCACACAAGCTTACTCACACTGCTGCAGCTCAGACAATGACACCCGGCCGAGCTGGTCTTTTGTTAGCAGAGATGTGATACCTCAAGAGCAGAGTGCTTTCTTAGGGGCACCCTGCTGGCCTCGGTTCTCTGTGACCCACAAAACTTGATGAGAGCCCTGCTGCTCTGCTAGCAACGAGTCTAAGAGATGAGATCAGCTCCTAAAGCAGAAACTTCTGGAGAGAAGGAACACAATACGTCTGTACTGAAACTACAAGTGTGTCTGTTGGTGAGAATCACCAAGGGAAGCCACGAAGACAGAGGGGTCAGGCTGCACACCACAAGCCACAGCCATACACAGAGACCAGAAGCCCCAGAGAACTACGGGGTCATCATTTTCTACAGTTTCTGCAGCCTAGGAACTCCTCCAGTGCAGTGTAGGCTCCTTGGAAAGGAAGGTGGAACAAGTCATTGTTCAGGGGAAGCAGGTTCTGCGAGCACTGCCCTCTGCTGGCAAACAGAAGGAGTGAGCAGAAAGACTGGGGCCTGGCTCAGGTTGGAGGTTGTCAGGAGGAAGGATGGAGATTCACTGATTTCCCCCCCCCCCCCCCGCCCCCCCCCCCCCCCC